AATAGACACTTTTCAAAGAAGACATCCAGATGGCCAACAGATACATGAAAAGATACTCAACATCACTCATCATCAGGGAAAAACAAATCAAAACCACAATGAGATACCACTTCACACCTGTCAGAATGGCTAAAATTAACAACACAAGAAACAACAGGTGTTGGCAAGGATGCGGAGAAAGGATCCTCTGTCTCTCCCTCTCATTGCACCTCCCCCACTCACGTGCACTCTCTCTCCTCTCTCAAAAACAAATAAAAAAGTTGTGATATCTATGTATGCATATTATATATATATATAATTTGGTGGCTGACTATTTGCTACCAAAAAGAATAAAATCTGACCCTTTGCAATGACATGAATGGAGGTAGAATATTATGCTAAGCAACATAAATCAGTCAGAGAAAGACAAATACCATAAGATTTCACTCATATGTGGAATTTTAGAAATAAAACAGTTGAATATAAGGGAAGGGGGTGGGGATAGAAGAGAGAGGGAAACAAACCACACAAAGCTCTAAAGGATAGAAAGCAGGGGCACCTGGGTAGCTCAGTAGGTTAAGCGTCTGACTTTGGCTCAGGTCATGATCTCACATTCATGAGTTCAAGCCCCACATCAAGCTCTGAGCCTGGAGCCTGCTTCGGATTTTGTGTCTCCCTCTCTCTCTCTGACCCTCCCCTGCTTACACTGTCTCTTTCTCTCTCTCTCTCAGAAATAAATAAAAAAAATTTTTTAATTAAAAAAATAAACAGGTTTAAAGGATAGAAAACAAACCATGTGTTGATGGAGGGAGGTGGGTGGTAGGTGGGCTAGATGGGTGATGGGTATTAAGGAGGGTACTTGTGATGAGCACTGGGTGTTGTTATGTTAAGTGATGAATCACTGAATTCTACTCCTAAAACCAGTATTGCTCTGCATGTTAACTAACTAAAGTTTAAATTAAGAAAAATAAATAGAAATAAAGTTTAGTAAACAGAACGTATGAAATAAGATGAGAGAATCAACCTTTACATAATGAGTATAATGTAGGGAAGACCATGCGCATTGCTGGGACACTCCTGGTGACCAGCAGTTTGGAGGAAGTGTGGGTGGAGTTTGCATATGTCACTGGGTGTGCATAGGGAGCCAGGGAGGGAAGGGTTGCTGGTTGTGGGTCAGAGCAGTCCCTCCTGATGACACATTCTATCACAGACATTCCTTGGGTCCCAGCATTCTATAGATTCTGGCCTTCCACATCATTTGGAAGATTTATTTGTTAAAAAAGGGGAGAGAATTTTTTTATTTAATGGTTTGTTAATTTCACTTCCGACTTTTAAATATTTAGACCTGTGTGTATGAGCCTCTCTTGCACATTGTGGGTGGCCTGGTGGTGAGTGAAGAGCTGAGCAGTGGGCAGATTCTGGACATACCTCAGAATGTCCAGAGACAACAGCCCCTACTGGTGAGTTGACCTGGGATGTGAAAGAGCGAGCACAGTCCATGGACTGGGCAATGGAGAGGGCTGTTCTCACCTGAAACAAGGAGGCTGTGGTGGAGTGGGTTTAGGGAGGGGTGTTCACGATTCCAGTTTTGAAAATATTGATCATTAGACATCCAAATGGGACTATTAAATAGGCAGTTAGTATGTGATCTCAAGGTCAGAAGAGATGTTGGCAGGCTCAGTAGGTAGATAGTAGCAGACAGGGGAATGGTATTTAAGTCCATACCACAAAACCATCACCAAGTGTGTGATTATAGACAAAAAGGAGAAGAGGGTGAGGTCTGAGCTCCAGGATCACCCAACATAAAACAGCAACTAACTTATCCAACACTTCAGCACATTCTAGTAATTGTTTGTTTGTTTAAGTTTATTTTTGAGAGAGAGGGAGAGACAGAGAGAGAGCATGAGCAGGGGAGAGGCAGAGAGAGAGAGAAAGAGAGAATCCCAAGCAGGCTCTGTGCTGTCAGTGCAAAACCCAATGCAGGGCTTGATCCCACAAACCATGAGATCATGACCTGAGCCGAAATCAAGAATTGGCTGTTTAACTGACTGAGCCATCCAGGCACCCCTTTTTTCTATGAGTCTCCTACTGAGATGTTGGAGAAAATCTAGTTCTATTCAAAGCTAACGAAAATCTGCAATTTTTAAAAAACCTTTTAAGTGAAATTCTTCTATGTTCTGTGACATAGGAGCACAACTTCAACATAGTATTCTTGATATACAAACAAATTTCAAAGTTTTTTTGCACAAATAAAATGGCCTGTCTATGCGTGCCTTTATGACTCCCTCTCATGCAGCTGCTATGGACTGACTGTTCAGAGCCCTGGATTGTTCTAATATACTGTCGACTCCGGAGTCACACGGTCTGTTTTGTTGTTGCCGCTTGCTTGTTTGTTAAAAATTGCACTGGCCAGAAAGTTCCAAATAACACTTCTTTCTGAGACAGACACTGTACCACATCCCATCAGGCATGGCACCTCCCCCCTCACGTTTACATCAGTGTCTCTCTGCTGAGCTTCTGTGGGGCTTTCTCTGAGGAGGCTACTCACAGAACCCCAGAGGTGGGCACAGTGCCCAGACAGTCCAACCAATGGGGACAGGAGTCAGTGGCTTTGTCTGGTAAGACATGCTCAGTGTGATGGGCTCTCTGACTGTACCGAACTCCACTTGTGCACCCCAGTAACCAACGTGATAATACACACTGTGCACCTGTTTTGTACACTGATGTGGCCTCCTTTGGCTACAGTAGCTGTCAGTGCAAATAGGCACTCAAATATTGGTTGAATGCAACATGCACGTGGTAGTATTTTTCTAAAGGATGTGGCCAAGAATGTGCTTTTAGTCTTCAAGATTTTTTTCAACCTTGTGGTGAGCATTACACATTTATTGTTCTGTCTTTTTGTCTTGGCTAAATTGAATGCTCAATTCAAGTAATTTTGGTATTCTTTGGTTAACCATTCAATAAATGCTAGTTAATATTTCTATTGACAAAGATTTTTAAGAAATTAGGTAATACCTAGACAGAGAAGAAATCAGCCCAAGTGAAACAGATAACATTGTGATCACTTAATAGTGACTATTCCATTACCTTTTAGAGAGGGTAAAGAATCCACTTAGCTCAAGATTACTTCCCAGATAGGCACCTTCGGCATGCCCTGGGAGTTGGTTAGAAATGTAGATTCTCAGGTTCCTCCTCACAACTACTGAATCCGAAACTCCAAGGGGCCCAGTGATCTGTTTTCTGACATCTTCAGGCAATGCTAAATATGTTAAATAGATTTTTTGTCTCAGTTTTAATGGTCTTTGGTGGAACCCCAGGGATAGCTGTGAAAACTTCATGAAGTACAATCACTGCCTGATAGACTCTCTCTGAACTTATGGGTCAGCCCTGAATTTCCACCAATTGTGAGGAGTACATCCATTCACATTACTCCTATAATATCTGTATTTGAAAATAAAGATATTCTTAGGGACACATAAAATTACACCGTTCTCTGAAGTTAGATTATCATGTAGATCACACCAAGTGTTGCTGTTCCTGTTGGATGTTGTACCAAAGGGGACATTTGGGAATTAGGAGGGGTTCTACCAAAGGGGTTGGGAGTGTGAGGTATTTCCTCGTAGGAACTCTGTCTGCCACCGTTTACCAAGAACAGACTGCCATTTTGCCTCAGACTGGGATACTGTGGTAAAAGATTGTTTCACTTCCTTACGCATGCCTAATGGGCATTTCCAAGTTTGGGGAAATGTTTCTTTCTCCCTAAGAAAATGAATTCTTATCCATCTTAAATATTTTCTTACCAATTCAAAGCAAGCCTACCAAAACAACAGAATGAATCATTGGAGAAGGTTCCTAGCAGACAGGAAAACGCCTATAATTCTTGTTGATCAGAGTCCTTTTTCAGAGGAAGTCCCAGAATACATGTTAGTCTAAAGAGCATTCCTAAGGTCTTCTAAAATGCTATTAGTAAAATAAAATACATAAATAAAGTTAATACAATTTGTTTTTGTACCTCTTACAGGTTCCTGGTTCATTTATCGGTACCTTTTCACTGATATACTTATGTTAATATGTTTTACTATTTATCACTGTTCTTATGATTAATATCAGTTTGCTTATAATGTCTCATTATTTTTTCCTCTTTACACATAAACACGCAAAGATTTTGCTACACTATTAATTTTTTGTGTTAGTAAAAGCCTTTGACATAAAAGAAACACGCACACAACACACACACACACAGATACACACAGAGATATTGTGCCTTCTATCATAAATATGCAGAATAACTAGAAATCACATTTTCTATACATACAGAGATTTATGGAGACATAATGAAAGTTAAAAAAGAGGGAACATTTCTTTCTGCTGCAAAAAGGACTTTACACAGTTATTTGATTTTCCTTCAAATAAAATAATGTGTGTGCTTAATTCCATTCTACTGTCTTCCTATTTCTCTTTATAGAGTTCTCTCCTATCATCAGATTGTTCACAGATTTTGACTGTGTGGTTTTGTGGGAATAAAATTCTTAACCACGTATGCAAAGAAAACTCTCGGTAGTATTTGCTGACTGCATGCAGTTACACACGTGAATATCGATCAGTCATTCCGCTCTGAGAAGCTAAAGTGCCTGTCGTTTCTGTTTCACCCTAAACTCATTTCCTGCTAGGCAAAACTCTTGAAATAGTTCAGGCAAAATAATTCTAAGAATATAACAAATTATGTGCTGATCTCATAAAGGGAGCATTAAGTTCGTGGTGTGCCAAGAGTTCATTTCCAAGTAATGCTGATATACTACTTGCCAAAAAAAATTGCCATTTAATGTTTCAGTGGAGCAGTGATTTATCTTCTAGAATATTTCCAGATGTTCAAATTCACCTTCACTTTAAGAAGCCACATTTTTGAAAGCGAATGACCTTGACTTGCAGCTACCCCTTCACGTGATACATTGTTGTTTAATATGTTGAAAGGAATGAAAGGAAGATGCCTGTTTATTTTGCCTCCCTGTGTTCTTAGCCTAGGAAATCCCCACTGCAAATGCACGGCGACTCAGCGGTGAAAGAGGCTTGCAGGAGCCGCGTGGGGAAGCTGCTGCCACATCTGCTTCGAGTCTTTTGAACTCCAGGGAGCACTGCCATAAGTCTGCTGCTCGTGAGAACTTCGGCTCTGGCTGCCTCCCATTACCAAAGAGAGGAGGAGGCCAGACTTCTGGGTGACCTCTGTCATTCCATACAGTGCTCTATGTAAACACGTTTCTGGGGGTGTCGATTATGGTCAGAGCAGGACACCTTTACTGAGATCATGTATACATTCCATGGGCTGGGGTTTTCAATTTTGGCTCTCACTAACACACAAAGTGGCTATAAGGAGTATGTTTACCGGTTGTTTACTTGATCCGTGCAAGTAGAGAAAAGCCATTTGCACCGGATTGGAAAACCATATTTAGTTTATTTACACCGAATACAAAGACAGTTCTACCCTTCCTCTAAATTACAGATTTATTGAACCTTCTGCTTGGTGGGTGCTTAATATATTTTAACATTAGATGTAGATTCCTAGAATAAAAAGTGTATTTAAGAAAAAACAAAACCTAAGGGCACCTGGATGCCTCAGTTGGTTGAGCATCTGACTTCGACTCAGGTCATATTCCCGCAGTTTGGGAGTTTAAGCCCTACGTCAGGCTCTGTGCTGACCCCGCAGAGCCTGGAGCCTGCTTCCGTTTTCTGTCTCCCTCTCTCTGTCTCTCTGCTACTCCCCACCCCCACCCCCCCGCTCATGTTCTGTTGCTCTTTCTCCAGACTAAATAAACGTTAAAAATATTAAAAAGAGAAAAGAAAACCTTATGAAATGATCTCGGTAGAAAGCCACCCAGCAATGGATATGCTCGGGGTTAATTATTGTAAATAGTATTCTTTTTTTTTTTTTTAAAGCATCACTATCTTTTTTTTTTTTTATGTTTTTATTTACTTCTAGGAGAGAGAGACAGCGCAAGCAGGGGAGGGTCAGAGAGAGAGGGAGTCACAGACTGAAACAGGCTCCAGGCTCTGAGCCGGCAGTCAGCACAGAGCCCGACGCGGGGCTCGAACCCACGAACCGCGAGATCATGACCTAAGCGAAAGTCGGACGCTTAACCGACTAAGCCACCCAGGCGCCCCTTGTAAATAGTATTCTAATGTATTGCCACAAAGTACCCAATTGCTTTTGGAGTTACCCTGCAAGCCAACATATTCACTGTGTGCCCAGGGGCTCCTTCAGATGGCAGACTCTAAGAAGCTTCCGTTTGGATGCTTGTCAGAGCTAAGAACTCTTCTGGGAGTCTGCCATGATGATTAATACCATGGCCGTCAGACTGGCCGTACATGGACCCCAACCGGGGCTACCGTTCACTGGCTGGGCAAACTTGGGCACGTAACTTAACGTCATTTGTAAAACGGAGATACTGTCCTGTCGCCATCGCTGTGAGCAATGGGGATACCAACATAGGATGCTTAAGGTATTTGGCACAGAATAAACTCTCAATATAGAGGATTTTATTATCAAAATTGTAATTATTTCTATTATTGTCATCAGCAGCTATACATCATCTTACTTATATATCTTACTTACATCTTACCTATCTGCAGTGGGATTCTAAAGCAGGGTTTCTTGAATAAGAATGACTTATAGAAAAAAAAAAAGAGTATTCCTGTCTCAAACCATACCTTTTTTCAGCCAGTCATTTTTGTGACGTCATCTTCACCTTAATTAACCTAAGAACATACTTTTTCTGTTTTATTTATGGATCATTTTCATCAGAGAACTTCCTCCTGAGAGGCTTTTCCGATATTTTTATGGAGCAGGAGGAAGTGGGAGAGTTTGGGACTCCTGCTGAGCATAGAGCCTTCTGGAAGCAGCTGAACAGTGCAGTGCGCCTCACAGCTTTGCTCTGTGTTTTGTCCCTGTGTCCATGGCTCTCAGTTTCACCCCTTCCAATCCATGTCTAAGCCGCAGATTATTGGATCTGAAATAGGAAAGCTCACACCCTGAACCTCCAAGACCAGGGGATGATGTGTAGCTTTGTTTCTAGGAAGTGAAATGGCCTTGAACAATGGAGTGTCCACTTTCAGCTCTCATGCCAAGCAGGAAGCAGCCCTTCCTGCCAAAGAGGCTTAAGACATCCAACTCCCTTTTCATATCTGCCTTCAGTTTGGCCCTTATGCTCCTGTTTTATATTCATTTCATGGATGTTACATTTCCCTGCATCACGCTGAGAACTGCAAGCAGGTACGTTCCCAAGTTTTCTTCTTCTTCAAAGATGAGCTTCCTAGATCAGATCATAGTTTGTAATCCTTCCCTTTCCTTTGGTTTTCTGTCTTTCTGATGTGCCCAGATTGGCTTCTTTCTATTACAGATTTTGAACTGAGAGAGATCCATGAGGCGCGGTCTCTGTAGGGTGACCGTGTGTTCTGCTATGCAGACTACACTGCTTATTCCCACATAAGTAATAAGAGTGTCCCCTTTCACTTGCAAACTATCCAAGTTTAGAAGACACGCTGTACGTTCACCCCGAGTCTCAGCCCTGAGTCTCCGACAGGGTGGGCATAAAGTCGTCAATTGTACTACTGTTCAGAGGCTCTCTCCCTCCTAACACCACCAGGAAGAATAGGCTGGTTTGCATCTCCCTGGCTCCATTTGTGTTTATCTGTTTGTTTCTTTCCCCAGCTGGAGTGTGCTGCAATGCAGTGGGATCTCGGCCAGACCCCTACTCTTTTCCAAGTCCTAACTGTGCTACCGATTTCAAGGCAGCCTGCAGTTCTTTGACAGGGGTTGGAAGTGAAAGGCTGCATTGCCCAGCACACAGTGTTTCCTGGCCTTGTCCAATTGCAGTTCCCAGCTATGCATTCTTGGGCAGGAATACACTCTACCCCACTCTCTGCAAACCCATCTACTTGAATACTGACAGTATATTCCCAATGGGGTGGCATGAATAGAAAAAAAATCATAACTATGGTCCATTCTGAGTACTGCTCTGAGGAGTATGGGATGCCTAATGCTTAGTTTTCTGTTCAGTGGATATTTTAGCCTTCAGGGAAATAATAACATTTTTCCCTACCAACTTTGACAGCCTCCACATTGCACTAGTTCAGAGAGTCCAATGTGTAACTCCCCAAATGTATTTTTCCTACATGTCCCCATTGATTATTCAGTTATTAATTTTTTCTCCTGATTTTGACATATGATAGTCTCCAATTTCTAGTTGCTAATTCTAAGAATGTTGCTAATTCTTCTCTTGTATAATGTTGATGGCATACATCACATCTTTTTGTGGGACTTTCACAGAAGATAAAGTAGGCAACAAGAAATTGACACCAAGTTAACCCCAGATTCCTAACTCAAATAATCCTTGGCTGAGTTACCATTCTTTGCTATTTCATTGGAGACTTTTTATTCTGCATTTGGAAGTGAGGTTGTGCTCTGATTTTTTTTTTTTTCAATCAAGGCTGTTTACAGTAATGAAAACTAACAATGGTTTAAGCAAAAGGGGAATTTATAGAAAAGATGCTGGAATATCTCACAGAACCCAAGGAAGAGCTTCATAATAAAAGCTTGAAGAAAGGGAAGCTCTAAGGTCTTTGGCATCAGTAGTTTAAGACCTTCTCCCTAGAGTGCCTCCATTATTTAAGCATTGGGCCAACAGCGTCCTCTGTGTACATTGATAAGTTTCTAGATTCTCTGCCCAAAACTACATATTCCTTCATAAGCTGTGACTGGGGCAGTCTGAGTCAAATATCCAATGACTGTGGCATGGTGATAGGGTCATTTAACATAGACGTTTCTGTTGGCAGTAGCCACTGTGCAGTAGGACAGTTTTTCAGAGAACAGAGAATTGGAATGGGGCAACTATCCTAAGTGGTGTCAATTCCAGTTTTCTATGTATGCTACTCAGTTACATTTTTGGTAATAGACCTATTTTTGAAATAAGAACTATTCCGTATTTCCCTTGGCTATCTACCATATTCATGCGTGCAGGCCATCTGTACTCTGCCTAAGGAAAGCCATATGATAGCAAAAAAGACGAAAACAATTATTTTAGGAGGAGAGTTCCTATGAGATGGTAAGGAGATTATTAACAGCAAGCCTTTTCCACAAAGATTATACAAACGACTCCCTGCGTTAGGGAAAAGTTGTGTTGGAAGGGAACCTATGAAAATGGAAATACCAGTAGATCTCAGAAAGAGTGTCTCCCAGCCCATCTGACCAGAAGAGCTGGTGAGAACACCTGAAAGCTGTGGAAGTCCAGTGGAAGTCCAGTCAAGAGGCAGGCAAAGAGAGTGATTGCCCCCAGAGCAAAGCCAGTACTGAGTGTGGAGTGTTTCCCTCCTACACACAAGCAAAGGGATTCATTCATAGCCAAAAAGAGGGTAGCTTCCAGCCACTCCCAACTGGAGAGCCTGTTAGTGACATTAAGAGCAGCCTAAAGTGACACCTGCCCTTCCTGACCAGGCAACGAAACCACTGTGGCTGCTGGCTCCATATGACCAGAAGAGGTAGCCAGACGCCTAGAATCTATTCTGCCCAGCAGTGCCCCAGACAAGAGAAAGGCAGGCGGAGCCAATAGTTGCAAAGCAAAACCAGTGGACCTATTTGTCCAGAGAACTTGGGGTGCAAGTTGGCTTGAGTTAAGGTAACAAAGAGTTTTACCAGCTTTAGAGCTGCTTCTTCCTCTGTGCCTGGGCAAGGAAACTAATTCATAGGGCCACTCATTGCCAAATGTAGCTTTCCAACTGCTTGACCGGGGAACCCACCCAGAGCACATGGCAAGCTGTGCAGCCCATCCAGTAGCCCTGTTTACAGTGGCACTTGAACAAAGAGCACAGTCTATAGTTTCTCCATCTGTAGAGCAAAACTGATGGCTTCACCTGACCAGCAAATTCAGTGTACACTCTTACCTGATACAGATTCCCAGACAATGAACCATCCAGACGGGCCTCATCCTAGTGCCCCGTCAGTGCAGGGAAGCTAATTCATAGTCCTGTCTACTACCAAATATTGTACCTAGTCCCAATCATCTAGTGATCCTGATCAGAGAATCCAGTCATCCATAGAGCCCATCCTACAATCTCAGATGGGCAGGGAACCCAAGCCAGCAGTCCTATACAGATGCTCTCAGCAAATGGCATCCCTCACCCCTCCACACCCCACCTGAGAGCTTAAACAGTTGCTTTGACCAAA